CCCGCCAGCTGCTTAACCTGCATCCGTGAAGAGCAGGTGGGAGTGAGTACAGTTAAATATCGTACTCACACTATGCATATGAATAACATAACAATGGTATGGTCGCAGCATAAACATACAATGATCACAACATGTCTCATCTCCTAATCAAAATCACACCATTTAACCTTACTCATGTGCACATCTATCGCTAGCCGCAGAACAGGGTTTCATTACCCGAAGGCGGGAGTACGTGCCACTGTAACGGACACGGCCTTCCATATGGGCTTACGTACCTCACAAGGGCACGGCCATATCAGGACTTAAAGGAGATTGCCACACAAGGGCACCGTACCGTAACTCGACGGGGACAACCGTACCGACGGCTGTAACAGCTCACATCGATAGGCTACATGTTCATTTTCATACATAGATCACACCAAATTTGCAACATGATTAAAATCAAACATATGCATAGATAATTTTTGAATAACAACCCACCTGGATTTGGACTGATGACAGTAATTCAGAATAGTCGTAGGTTGAGGCTTGACTCCTCAAACACCTACATTATGTCAAGATCCTACAATCAATATCGTGACTAAATCGGAAAACACAAAACGGACCTAGTCGAACTTGTTTCGACTAAGTAGTTCGTGAAGTTTTGTGGATGTTGGAACACTAAGACTCGGCTCTAAACTCGACCAAACCACATAAGGGAGTTCACACAAATCCATCTAAGGATTGACCAAGTCAAACACACATAAAAACCAAAAAGCAAGTCGATCCAAATTTTCCATATAACAAATTGTGCTCGAAAATTGAAATCATTTAATCGCATGAAAATAGATGGTCGAGCTACCCAACGAATTAAGCTCTGAAAATTTACCAAAAATTTCATCTTCCAGCAACATGTAAAACCACAAAGTTTCAGCTTTAAACTCAAAATACCCTATTTTATAAAATTCGAACAGTATATCAGCAAAATGGGCACATTAATTCATACTCAGACTTAATCAAACACCTAAAATATTACTCTCAGTATAATTTCAGAATTTTCCATGCAGTAACCGATTTTTAAAAATTCAAACAACACTTCTGCAGAATCAATAAATAAAATATTATCCATATCAAATCAACTCCAAAAATTCTGAAAATTTAACACAACACATATAAGACACAGAGGCATGAAATATTCGAATTTCAGCTCATTTCAGTCAGGAATGAATTTATTACGTATTTAAAAATATTCTGGACAAAACACAATTTAATTATTAAAAATAGCTACAGATCTCCAAAATTATGAAAATTTTACACAAGGCAGGAAATGAACAGATAACACATCCCTCAAAATTTCACATCGTTTCGAGCAGCGAGCTATTTTTAAAAATTCGAACATCAAAACAGTGATTAACAAGCTCGACAACTTGACAATTAAATCACAACACACAATTTATCGTCTGAGGCCTTTTCAAAAGACCAAGGACTCGACATTGTTCCATTATCCACCGACTTACACGACTTTCGAGGTCTTGTTCGATTTTTTGAGAAAATCGAAGAGATCCCGAACATACGAACACAATAATCACAACAATTCAATATATTTGCACTTATTCAACAATAAATTCACATTATATATATAACACGAGCACAACATGAATATGAACAATTTAACAAACATAAATCACATACGAATAAAACGAGACGAAAAAAACGACGAGGTACCGTTCTCGGGAATAACTCGAAAATGTCACGAACACGAAGGCTCGACGGTAAACTCGTCTCGCCGGAAAAAGGAAAGCTCGATGTGCACGGGGAAGAGGAAGAAGTTGCTGCTGCTGGTTCACGGGCTCGTCGGGAAGTCGCCGGACGCTGCTGCTCGGAGAATTATCGAGCTCGCCGGGAAAAACCACAAACAGAGATCGGAGGGAGAGGGTCGCCGGAGATGATGGGCTGGTTACGGCGTTGCTGCTGTGTGGGTCGCCGGAGGTGGCTCTGCTAGCCGGTGGCAGGGGTTCGCCGGGAAGGTGGCTCACAGGCAGCCTGTGCGAGGAGGAAGGGCGGCAGCGACGCGACTGGAGTCGCGGCGGGGTTGAGCTCGCGGAAAAGGGGACTTGCAGGTCGCCGGAGTTCACGAGCAGGGGTCGCCGGAGGGTCTGCTTCGCGGCGGCGATAGAGGAGGAGGGTGACCGGCGATGATGAAATTGAACGGGGCTGGGGTCGACCTGAAGGTTGCGATTGGCGAGGAGGTTGATGACGAAAGGGGCGGTGATTAGTTTAGCGAAGAAAGAGATGACGACTTCTCTGATTTTTTTGCGAGAGAGATGAGATTGGTCTGAGTTGAACGAGAAAAAGGCTGCGGTTGATTATCACAAGAGAAGATGAGGGAGCGTATGATTTACAAGAGTGTGATTAGGTTAATTAATCTATCTTAACCCTCAAAACACTCACTTCCTCATTGGGGCGAACCAGGTTTTTGGGCCGCTGGGCCGGTTGCGACATTAAATCAGCTCACGGGCTCATTTTTGGTTCATGTGGGTATTCTCGGGCTCGATAAAAATCGCACGTTAATATATTCGGCTTCTCGGGCCCGATTCAATCACACGAAAATAAATCCAGCTCTCGGGCTCGGGTTCTCCGATTACAAATTTTAAACGGACATTTTTCGGGCCCAATTTCGGTTCCCACGAAAATCCTCGGGCTCGATTTCGAATGCAAACACGCGATAAAATAAACCGAACAATATATATATTTATATTCTCATATTTTTAAATACACATTAATAATCACAAAAATTCAATTAAACATTTACACATTTAGCATTTAATCACATTTGACAATTATTAAATATTATGGCATTCAAGAAAAATAAATATAAATATTATCACAGAAATAACAATAATAATAATAATAATATATCCCAAATAATCCACAAATAAACGGGGCATTACA